CCTTCCCATCCGCCCCTCCTTTATATCCTGATCATGATGTTACATGATCTGGAATATTCCACTGGCCAGTTTGGGTCCGGTGCTCTGGCCGTGCTCCCCCCAGCCTCTCGTGCACCTGCACACGGGCAGGACATGGGGAGCTGGAGAGTCCTTGATCTCTGAGCAACAACTGAACACATCAGTGTGTTATCAGCATTCTTCTCATCCCAAATCCTGTCCTGAACCCAAAGCACAGCACTGTTCTAGCCACTGAGAGGAAAAATTAACTCAATCCCAGCCAGCCATAGTTTTGGTTTTGGTTCCTTCCCTAACAGCTGCTAGCACTTGACTCCTCATTTTGACTGCTGCTGAAGACTGAACTAACGCTTCTGTGCTACTGACCATAACCCCGAGATCTCAAACTGAGGGGTGTTGGTTGGTTCAGGTCCTGAGACACATGAAACATCATTTTCCCCATATACTTTTCTATCTGTCTGAATTGAACTTTGCCTTTTTATTGCCAATTTACTTGGCCACACAAGATCTTTCTACAGTTCTTTGGAGCTGGCCTCATTTTTACTTGCTTGAAAGAATTACCTGCAAAGTAGGGGTTTCCTAACAGTACCATACCCATGCTCTGAAAGAGTGTTTAATTTAGAGTGTTGTCTATGCAGAAATCCACAATAAACCAGTTTTATTTTTTTCCTGTAGCTGCCTCATCCCTTTTTATTTTTTCCTTCCCACTAGGTTTTACCACTGACTTGCAATCCAGCATTGGTGGCCAGGCTTTTCCACAGTGTGTCTTTGATCACTGGCATTTTGCCTGGAGATCCCTGTGATGCAAATTCTCGTTCTTGGCAAGTTGTGGCTGAAACACGTAAACGCAAAGGTCTGAAGGAGAGTATTCCACCTCTGGATAACTTCCTAGGTAAGTTATAATCACTTCTGTTTCATGTTGTGTGAAGTACTGCGCAGTTTTGTCCTGATACCATTTCCTCATAAAACAAGGAAGGAAATGGAAAATTGTCATGGTGAATACGTACAGAGTGTTAATATGTTGTGAATAATGGCACTATCACCTACTAAATAAATAAAGACATGCTAATTTGATGTATGGGACTGTTGTTGCCTCTATGTTGTCTGTGGTCACTGATGCCTGTGTCAAAAATACGTATTTTAAAAAAAAAAAAAAAATCAGTTGCCTAGTACTAATGGTGTTCTTTATAGTTTGCCTAATCCACAATTGTGTCTTTTAACCTAGGAAGCAGCTCCCTTCGTTGTTGCTCTTGCAGAAATTCTTGAACTGTCAGGTTTTGTCCTCTCAGCCAGAAGATGCATTCTTTCATTTCCAAACTTGAATCCTCTGGGATTTTGAAGACTGGTAGTGAAAGGCTTGCAGTTACAGGTAAGCTTTCTAGCATCCAACACCTAGATTTAAAAGCAGAAATACAGAAAATCCCCAGTAATGTTGGAAATGCCTTCAATTCTTTCTGCTGGACCAATGCAGAACCTCCTTGGGAATGGTGGTGTATCGCTGGGCAGCAGTCCTGCCTGCATGGCTCACAACTGTTTCAGACAGCTGTATCTGACCTGGAAGTATGAAAAATCAGAAGCCAGCTCAGGCTAATAATAGCCTTTAGGTGTGTGGGTATAGCCTTTTTGGAACTAGTATTCTAGCTGCTAGCTCACTTCCAGTAAATGCAAAGAAAGATGTGATGGGTGGGGGGAAAAAAGGGCCAGCTCTTGCAGCCTAACTTTCACTGCCCGCTGGTGGTCCATGCTGTGGAGGGATGTTGTGTTGGTCTTATAAGCTTTGATTTCCTTCTGCAGTTGGGTTGAAGGTATCTTTGCTATAGTCCGCTCAAAGCGGTAACCAGGTACTACTTCCACAGTGGAAACAAAGAGGTTAAGAAGTCAGCTAACCCTTTCATCTGAGGTTTTTCTCGTGGTAGTTCTTGGATAGACATTGTGATGCATTTTGGAACTTGTTGAAGGAAGAACAAGCTGAAGACCTGTCTAGCAGCAGCAGACAGTTTTGCTTTGAGCAGGGCCAGAGTGGCACAGACCTCAGTTAAGTTGCAACCCCCCTGTCCCCTCTCCACCCACCCCTGTTTAAGTTAGTTTGTTGTCTTGTGGAAGGCAGCACATCAGGTGAGTGCTGCAACATCCACCAACTCGAGTGAATTAAAGGATTTAGGCATTACACAAGCCTAGTAATTACTTACTGTGTGTCCATCAGCATTCACCTGATTGCTTGCCTTGGACAAGGGCGAGAACTCAGCGCTCAGTGCTCCCCTGGAGCGGAGAGGTGCAAATGCCTTCAGTCACAGCTGTCACGGGTCAAGGTTTGAAGCTAAATGCAGCTGCAAAACTGCCCAAAACAGCTGGGAAACTCAACCCTACCTCAGTCCTGACAACTAACTACTAACAAGGGTGCAAAAATTAACTTAAAGTTCCCGCTGTATTTTATAATACCATGAATGGTTTAGAGCACATGTCCTAAAAATGGCATTTTCCAACATACGTGTCTGAGTCACACATCAGTTTGGCATTAAAGAGTATAAACAGCATCATCAGCAACAGGTACCAGTTTAAAACACTTTATTCGGAACAACTGTGGAACCTCTTTCCACGCTTTATTTAATAGTTCAAGTCACTGTGCAATTGTGATGCAGAAAGCACTGATCTGCTGCAGGCCATCAGGAAAAATCATGAGCAGCATGGCTTTATTGGAAATAAATCACACAAAAAACATTCTTAACAAGGTACAAAAAAAACAGATAAGGAAAGGAGAAAAAAAGACTGGATGCAGCATTAAGACCAACCAACATGTGAATTTGAAGACTGATGTGAAAGATCATACAAAAAAGGCAATGAGGAGTAGTAATTCAATGTTAAAGGTACAGGGAGACAAAAGATAAAATACATCCTGCTTCTATTTCTTATCCAGGTACTTCATTCAAATACTGTAACAGTAGTGGAAGGCAAAAAGCACCAGACAGCTGACTAAAGAAATAAGAAAAAAAGGAACACAAAATTGGGAAAAAGTGAAAGCTCGTAATTAGGGAAGGAATAATCTCAAATACAGTTAATCAACAGAAACACAACACTTGGAAAAGCTGCTGTGTCAATGGGTAGATAAAACTATTATTCAAGCTCTGTGGAAATGACTTCATTTTCCAGGTCTGTAACCTCTTCCACATACAGTACTGCTGAGGTTATGCTTGGAGGTGTGTGGGGAGATGCTGCATACACACAACAAAGCAGCAGACCCAGAGGAATGAAACAGGAGGAAGTTACTTCCATTGAATTAAAAAAGCCGCCACTGAATTAGAAAAGCCACCATTAGGAGGTGTGTAATGTGGGACAAAGCAGTTAAGCCCTAAACATTCTTTCCAATTAGGGAGGAACACTGTGCAGCTACAGCTTTTCTGTTCTAAAAAACCTGGCCTCCCTCTGAGGCAAACTGGACTGCAGCATTCCCAAACAGAACAGTTGGTCAGGTGACAAGCCAGGAGCAAGAGAAACTAGAAAATATTGCTGCACAGGAGAACGTAATTCCGATTTTGTCCCCTTACAGCTGTCAGGAAGGCATGAACGTCCCTTTGTCTGTTGAGGGACAGCAGTTTCAAGGAGAGCCACCAAGGCCTTTATAAACTAAATTTGAGTTTGGAGGCCTTCCTTCTAGCACCTCTTGAAGTTATCAAACCACAAACTCAACTACAGCTTGACTGTGCATAGTTGAGAGTTTCTGATGGCAGGGAGACATCCTAATTCTGACATGACAGCACAGAGATTGTGTAATGCAGGGTTTGCATAGATAGTTTGTCCCCTCCCCAGCATAAGACCATTAAGAGGAAGAAGTCACATCTTAGGATTTTGTTACATTTGTGGAAAACACGATATCAGGAGGTAAAAACTGACCCCACCCATTTTACAGAGGTTTCCCCTCTATCCCCAGGGAAGGGGGTAACAAGAGACCTACAACACAAGTCATGGCTATTTCAAAGCTTCATTGTCTTACAGGAAATTTATTACAGGCCCCAGTGAAAATACTGAATTCATCAATGCATACACTTACGCACCTTTGTCCAGGTTGTACTTGTTCTGGAGTGGTTAAGTGCCTTTTTTAATTAAAAAAACCTTTGTTTTTACATTATTGCTGTGTTTTACAACAAACTTTAAAGACATCTGTGGAATTCATCCAGCAACAAAAAAAAAATCAGTTTCTCCAGAACAAGCTAAAAGCATAAAAGCATGTTCTGAAGGGGCCTTTTCTATACCAGCTATTTAATGAACATTTTTTTTTTTTTTTTTACTATCTGGTTAGCTTGAGCATTGACTAGCATGTTAAGAAACACTATCATGTCCTTGATGAACACAAAAAAAACCCAAACACCTTTGCAGTTGGAGAATGTTACTGGGCACAACAGCGTATTTCAGCCTCCTTTCATCACACAAAGTAGCAGAATGCTTTTTGCTACTTCAACAGAGGTTAGAATAATTCCATCCCCTCAAAGAACAGCAGCTGCGCTAATCAACATTTTCATAGCATATACCTGCAACAATACATGCAGGCTTCTAAACATTTTAGCAGTGATAAATGAGCCCTGATCAAGCCTGATTGAGAAGAATCACTAAGTTGATTTAAGTTTCCTGAAGTGGAAGAAGCCTTCTCAAAGCAGTGCTGAATATTCTAAGCATTTTGAAACAGAACACGGTTGCCAGGTGTCAGAGGAGGATCATCTCAGACACGCCCACAGATGCATACATATGTTGTTCAACACACCTTTCTTTCTTTTACCCTGCAGATCCCAACCTTGGGCCTGTGTTTAGAACTGAGCCTGAACTGTTTGAACTGTCCAAAGTGGACATTTCAGAGCAACATAACTCCTTCCAGTCTCCCGCAAGAACTAACTTCTGCTATTCCCACTTTCGGCAGTTCAGATCTCAAGGTCAGGCGGAGTATTGTGCAGAGATCGCAAGTGGAAAGAAAAGGAGGAAGTTCATCCTTCGTTTTTAAGGCAACAGAAGGTCAACTCTGTACTGCAGAGTCCTATTACTGCGGTCTTCTAGTGACAGAGATATGAAACAGGGTCTGTTTCAGACCCTCTTGTCTTGAGGAGCCGATATCCCCCCACGTTTCAAGGTTGTAGTCTGTAAGAGTCTACTTACTGTAAGAACCATTCTCCCTAACAGCGTAAAGTTTAAGTTTCCAGGAAAGGAAAAGCACCACCTAGCTACTTTTATCTGCAAAATTTCCATGTAATCCCAAACCAGTGGGGTTTAGGTGTTACCTGGAGGGATTTATTTTAAGACTGTTGTCATGTGCCCATCAAATTGATTAAGATATTTTCTTTAAAACTTAATCTTCTCCTAGTATCAAGACCAACAGAAACAGCAGCCAGTGAAGCACATTTACAGAGGTTAGTCTGGGCTACAGACACACAGTGTGAACTAAGAGCACGAAGTAACACGACGGGTGTATTCAGGTCAGCAGTGTGCATGTATCCACTTTGGAAAGGCAAGTTATCAATAAAGAGTGAGTTTCCACTCCTGGATTTATCCTGGTGAGGCTAACCTGAATCCTCCCTTAAGGGCTCTTCGTTACCACCTCTTGCCAAGAAAATGGATTTTCCTGGCCTGTGATTAGGTCTAAGCAAGTGGACTGCAGACATGGCATGGATGATGACAGCGCCCTGATAGTTGTTCGAGCAGTATGTCACAAAAACCAGACTTGGAAATTAATTATGTTCAGAAACATACCTGTGAATCAACTGGGATTAGTGAAAGAAAATCCAGACCTAGAAGGAAGGATAATAAGTTGGTGTATTTTTCTTTTATTTGGACTCAACAAATTTAAGGAACATTTTTGTGGTCGTAGAACAGATTTTGCAATTGTTACAGTTTCTAAATGGAATATACCACTGTGACACCACTCTCAAAGACTACTTCAGGCAGCAGCAAAACCAGTTATCTAGTATAAGTGGCTCTTTTTAAGAATGAGAATGACATAATGGTGATTAATCACTGGATATTGCAGGGTGGTTCAATGTGGTTGCTTAGATGGAGGTTGCCGTTTGGAGCTGTTGGTTCATAATGCAAGTTTCACTGCATATTGTACCTGACTTGGCCAAACTGGGACATGAAGAGTGTCATCACATTAAAGATGCTGGAATGAAGTAAAGTCACAACATGCACAAGTCCAAAAACAAGCAGCAGGTCTCTTCCTCCACCCATGGGCAGCCAATAAGGAAACATTTCTACTATCATCCCCGTTTTGTGTCTAGACAAATAAAAGGAACGAAGAAGAGGAAACTACAATAGTTCAAGGTATATCCTCTAAGAGCAGTGACAACTAGCGTCTATCTTATACACCATTAGCGTGTAAGCATTCAGGGTAAAGATGTTTAAAATTACAAAACCAATGAGAAATTACAGCCTTTTTTGTTTTGTTTCTAAATATTGGCCTTGTGTTTGCTATGTCAACAGAAAGAAATGGTAAACTTCCTCCCTCCCTCTCCCCTCACCTCCAAATCTGTTCTGGCCAGTGGCGTCTCTCCTCCATTACAGAGAATTTTTGAAGATTTAAAATCAGCTGCTTTTAAAGAATTGACAGCTTCCTTTGTTCTTACACGTTCTTGAACTTCAGTTGATAGAGACAACAGTTCTCTCAGCTTACTCTCCTATCCAATTTGGGAAGACAACTGATTTCTTAACAAGGGAGAAGTGGAGGGAGGGAGCAGTAAGGGAACCAAAATGGACAGAGAAACAAGGGGAATGATAACCATCCCATTGCCAAACTGGTGCTGAAAGAAAGGAAAAAACCCAGACATGTTGCAGGGGAGAAATGGAGACAGGCAATGGAGGGGGAAGAGGGAAGTACAGGAGGCCAGTGTGACACCTGTCACCACAAGTCACCATTTCCTGGGCTCTGGGTTCGTTACAGCCGGCAAAGAGAACCCCCAGAGTCCCTATATACAGTGTGCTTTTCAAGGACCCAGGATAGAAAACAATCAGTTTCCCCACCTTTTGTCTGATATTTAGCAGCAGTGTTGAAGAACACATCATAGGCATTTAGGGTATGTCTAGGTAAAGAAAGTCAGTAGAGGTCAGCTTACATATTGTAGCTCACCTTAACCTTTTTCATACAGTCTAGACAAGAGCACCACTATAATCAGCTAGCAGAACATCTCTACATCTAGGGCTGGGATGAGTCACTGCCATCATATGTCTAACTTAAATAAGCAGCTACTCTCCCTCGCCATCTACAACACATAACAAACGGATGTTTGCACAAAGTCTAACTGAATATAGCGAGATGTGTTTCTGGCTGCCGTTCCAAAGCGCCAGTTTGTACCCCAGAAGCAATTTTTTGTACATCCCTTTTGCAAAGTGCAATCTGAAACTGGGAAGACAGCCCGCACTGGACTTGTCTAGGCATCAGTGAAATACTGCATATAGTCTTGTTCCATAGAAAAAAAAAAAAAAAAAAAAAGTTGATCGATTTTCCCAATTTTTACACCACCACCACCAACCCCGCCCTGCATATTAATAAGACTCTCTGAATACACATTAAAAATAGCCATCACCTACCTGGTAAGTCTGATGAGAGATTGGATATTGGGTGATGGAATGGTGCTGGATAGTCTGTTAATGAAGGAGGAATAGCAGCAGCATTGACGGATGTCACACTGGGCACTCTGAGAGCAGATGGATGATACATCAGAACCCTGTTTTAAACAGTATGGGAAATTACAAACAACCTGGCCGTTAGAGAAGAGAAACGATGCACCGTTATGCACTCTCGTTCACAAAGTCTCACATGTTACATCACAACTGTGGTATGGCTACTCACTACACAGTATTCCACGCTTAATTTCCTCTTTCATAACAGTCTTCATAACAACATGACCGTATTGTGGCTCTCAACAGCAGCTGTGACATAAGAGCAAGCTGGTGTTATAGGATAGTGCTGGATCATTTATAACAGTCTACCACTTGGAGACAGAAATCTGTGGAGCACCCTGGGAGGGAGGTGCAGGTAGCCAGAGCCACCAGGAGAGCGCGCGTTTCCCATTGCTCCATGTAACTGTTCCTCAAGGCTGACCTGTCAATGTCAAGGGCACAACTGACCCTTATTCAGCCCCTGGAGCACAGATTACATGGGTGGGACTTAAATATCAAACCTGTCTTTACTCACGGCCTGGGCCCAAGATAAGTTCAGCTCTCCAGGAGTATGCAGCTGGTTAAAACCCTTCTGCATCCCCACCTTCTGCCCGATTACTGCACAGAATCATCTAGGTTGGAAAAAACCCTGAAGATCATCCAGCCCAACTTCGCGGCACTGTTAAATGGTGCCATGGGCATTCAGGCACCAGCCACGTGCATAAAATACTTCATAAACTCCAAGCCAGGTGGAAACACCCGGACTACCGCTCCCAGCTGCTCCACATCACACCCTCCAGCCCACCAGCCATGAGTGTTACCCACTCAAGTCTTCCTCCCCAGACTGCTGCATTTACATTGCTTCCAATTTCAGACCCTCCCTTCTCAAGCAACTCATACTTCAGCCTATGTTGCCTGTGCCTATAGGAAGACACCCCAGTTTTGCCAAAACTAGCACTCAGGCAACACTGTTTATGGGAGATAAGCTATTCCCCAAAAGCCTGGCTTTGACCTGGATCTGAAAAATGAACACACACCATTTCAATACCCAAACAGCAAGGAAAAGACATTGGTCACAGACAAGAAAACTGAGGCCTTCCACAATTACAGTTGCAGGTAGCCATCTCAGACAAACACAGGAGCACAGAAGGAAGTCTTGGTGCCTTCTGAAACTTCATTAAGAGATGTATTTGTAGTTATTTTTTCTCACAAAAATAAGAAACAGAGTCTTTCGCAGAAAGAGCTCTCCACAATCCTCACAAAAAGCAAGAGCATTTCAGTATCACTGCTGGAAGCTGCTGAAGCTGACTATTTTCTCTACCAAAGACCACACATTCCTGTGGACTAAACACAGTACACCTGCTCATTACTTCAAGAGCTGGCCAAACAGAAAGGGGTGGTTTTTACTGCTATTATACACACAAGACATAATCCACTACGCTGAGACACACAGACACGCCCCTCATGCAATGCAGCAACACTAATAAGCCATTCCTAAAAGCTGATGCTTGGAACTGCCTCGTGGAGCAGTGACTGCTGGTGAGCCTAACCACTGCTCCCTGCGGGCCAAGAGCAAGAACTTTACAGAAGCCACAAACAGTAACTGCAGCCGAGTTGCACAGACTGGGATGGACAGACAGAAGAAGGCACAACAGTCAAGACGTGGGAAGTTGTTGGTTGTGCTAACCAAGGCAGAGGACTGACTGGTAACTATGGCTGATGAACTCTGGAATGTCTTGGACACTGTTAACAGAGAGATGGAGGAAAAGCTTGTCTTGAGTCTAAACAGGAAAGCACCTCCCTTCCAAGACTGACAGGATGGATGAAACACACAACTCAGCCTGCTTTCCTGGGCACCAGAGCAGACTAGATAAAGGGTGTAATAGACAGCAAGAGAAAAGCCTTTAAGATCACTAACTTGGCAAGAATGCATAATTCTCCTCTGCCTGGCATAACCCGATTTCTCAGGGGAACCCTGTCCAATAGCTTAATCAGCTTCCTTTTCTATGGAGAAATATTCCTGCAAACACAGCAACAGTCAGCACAAGATTGTGACATGTAAAACTAGTGTTTTGCCTGTACTGCAGCAACACCACCTTCCGCAAGGAGAGGCCTAGAAATTCTCTGGAAGTGTGGAGCTGGATCCTGAAGAGTTACAAGTCCGTTCATCTACACATCAGTTTATCTGAGACATGACAGAATAACAACTAACTTTAAAACTGACAAGCCCTTTTGTTGGGCTTCCTTGTGTTTCAGACATAAATACATACTTCCTTTTGGGAGGAGGATTTTCGTCTTCATCAGAAGAGCTTTCTACCGTCAGGTCAATAACATCAACTTTCTTCTTGTTTACCTCACTGGCCTCTGTCACAGAACACTGTTTGCTAACCACACTGGAACCTAAACAAGAAAATAAAATATCATTGTTTTTTAAAAGCTGTTACTATCAGCAGTTTCTATTTGCAACAGAACCAGCAACTCAAATCCTGTTTTAGCTCAACTTCCTGGCCACTACAGAGAATGTTAACAGCCCAGGAACTATTTTATCAGTATTCTGCATCATGTTGAGACTATTAAAGCACAAGCTTTAATCCTCACTTACCAGTTTAAGGACCTAAACCAAGAGCAACTTTTGTTTTCTTAACTGCTATTACAAAGCAGTTAAGCCCAAAAATGCACACTTTTAGAGATATAATCCCTTTTTTTTCAGTTTAAATAAAAGTAGTATTAAGCCCTCCACAAAAAAAAACATCAATATCCATACACATTATACAAGCTACAATTGAGTCTCCAAGGCTTTTTGCTGATTTGCAACCAGCACTGAGATGGACATACTTTCTATTTTGGTGCTCTGTGGACTTGAGACATTCACAGCTTCTTTCTTTAGCCTCATGGGGCACCAGGCACCATCTTCTTGGAATTTAATCTCATCTACATCTGAACATTCATTAAGGATTTCCATAAAGAGCCTGAAAAATAAAGTTGAGTGGTTTCATTTTTGATTCCAAGTGCAACTTCTAAGTGACAAGGAGTCACAGCTGAAAAGCTAATTACGATCACCTTCGACCTACTACAAGTACTCTCTCCCTAGTTCGTGTTACCTGAAAGCCTGTAATTATGACCTCTGCAGACATCCAGACACTGAAACTTGAAAGTATCCCAGCCTACCCCTGTTCCACTCCAACACCTGCTGGAATTCATAGACTTCCACATAGAAGCAGAAATCATCATGCTTTGGATCAAGTTTGACACTTGTTTATGAGTTAAGGTTAAATTTTAAAGTTAATAGCTTCAGAGATAAGGTCATGTGAAAGCGAGACCTATCTTTAGAGTCACATTTGGATTTCTCCAGAGGAAATATACTGAGGCTGAAGAGTCTGATGACCCAGTTAAGAGATAAACTTGTGCAGTTTGTTACAAGGGAATAGAAACTAATGGTCTAATGTTTCCTCCCAGTCTAAAGCATTCTGACAAAGAAAATAGTGTGAAATGGCTAAATCCCAAGTCACAGAAGTATCAATCATGAAAAATTTTAAGTAATTGTGTAGTCTGCAAACCCAGTCTCTTACCCATCTAATATTAGGCTCTCATAAGCTGCCTTTTTGTCACAGACAGGGCAGATCCAGGTAGGCTTCCTTTCGTTCATTTGTAGATAAAGAGCAGCATCAAAACATTGCAGGTGTGTGCAAGTAACAGCCCGGCATGGGATTGTCAGTCTCATTTTCCCCAACTGCAGGAGATGCATTTAAAAAGCGTCAGAACAGAAGAGAGTGAAGTAGGCCTGGATGGCTAACAATGAAATCAGAGGCAGTAGGTGAAGTAACTGTCTCTTCTCACTACAGAGGTGCCCAGGTCACTGCAGGCAAATCCACCCTATCTAAGCACATACAGTGCACTTAAAGGAACAATAAGGCCACCCTCAAAGTCTTCACTGAGTTGAAAACAGTCAGAAACACTGCCAATGGACCTACATCAATGTTATTTCTAGGATTTTATTTTTATTAAAAAACCTTTAATGAAGCACACTCTTTTATAATTTTCTCTTAGCCAAATATTTCAAGGGTTTTTGTGAACTCCACTTATGTTAGACTCAGAATGCTGTAATACTCGTTTTAACGTTTACCTTAACAGACCAGTTGTAAACACAAATCCAGTTTCTACCTAGGAAGAGAAACCCCAAGGCAGCGTTACCTTGTTACATGGTGATCAGGGGATTTTTGTTTGTTGTAGTAGCTGGCTGTAAGCAATACCACTGAGATGAGGAGATCTTAAGTTTTATTTACCACTGTATCCTGTAATTATTCTGTCACCCTGCCCAATTAGTGTCAACGCCTCAATATACAAGATTACCTACCTCTTCTAAAGGCCTCACTATACACACGAGTTGCAACTTGGTTCTGACTGCATTACAATTGAGGCACTCGCAGTTCTAAGCCACAGCTGGCTGAATGCTGCTACAACCAGGTGCTTGTAGATGCACCCTTCTCCCTGCTATTCTGTATTAATGAATCAGTATGTAACAAAAGCCAGTGAAGTTTCTAAAGCAGGGCCTTTTAAAAGCAGCCCAACTCTGCACTAAAGTACAAATCTGCATATAGTAATTTCCAGCCACACTTACAGGACACATCAGAGATACTCGCAGACTGGTTGTCGCAATCTCACTATCAGGGTCTGCAGTTAGTTTTTCTTTAACTATTAAAATAAATTAAGAGTTATACACAGACATCATTATTTAAAATGCTAATCTTGATTCACCAGTACATGTACTTTATTTCCCGCTATCCAAAAAAAAAAACCCAACAAAACAAGCACCTAGGAAATTAGTTCACAGCAATATCAAACAACAATAGTCTCACTGCTTACAAGCAACTGGCAAACACTGTGCATCGCAAGACTGTTTGATGTGCAGCAGATGCACTAACAGCCACAAGGGTTAGTACAGCAAATTCAACCCAGCATGCCAAGAGATAAATAAAATAATCATCGATGAGTGAGGTACGAAGACATGAGGTATAAATCAGCATCACATGCAAGGGAAGAGAATTTAGGACACCTACCGGCCCCTCAAAGCCCACCCCAGTGAGTGGTGCTGGTGGCATTCCCGTGGGAGCACTTCAGATGGGATCTCTAGGTGTGCTCCCTACCAGCACTGACAAAGTGCGTGATGCCTCAGCAACAGCAAAGGGAACCACTAATACTAATACTCTGGGCATGGACTTTCTTTTCAAAATGCTGGAAACCCCCTAAGTACTACCTGTTCTCAACAACCACCAACCACCCTCAAAAAGTACATGCAGGCAAATCAGACTTACTCAGTGCTCTGGAATGATCAGGGTTTCTGATACCTTTCATTTTTAACCTCTGCAAAAGCATAGCTGAAGTGAGCTGACGGACGAGATACACAGACATGGAGTAATTCTACAAAAAGAGTGATTAAAGATTAAATATTGATTTCGTACAGCACTTCTATGACAACAGATTACTATTTACACTAGTTGTAGCACACAGTAAAAACAAAAACATGACAATTTTTTTGCTTAGTAGTTATGAAAAGCATTGACAGACAGCTTCACTACTGTGAAAGAGTCCAATACTCCACCAGAATTGTCCTGACAATCAAGTCCAATTGCCCTATGCTGGTTGTGGTTTAACTGAGAGTAACTCCACAACTATGAGACAGTCTGGGCTCTTCTGGAAAGATGATTTAGGCTACCTAAGGTGACGCACCTTCTCATACACGCAGTCCTTACAAACTTCTCCCTTTCTCTCTGAAACCCTTCCCTTTCTGCAGTGTCAAAGACAATCACGTGACAAAAGAAAAGATGAATGGTCTTTCAGGGGCTAACACAACACTTTCAAACAGCACACAGCTGCACTGACTTCCTGGTACCTCTTCTTTAGCTTGCTCTGCACTTTTAAACCAAGCCTCATTACACCATACCCACTCCTCTGAGGCTGGCCACGTTCCCTAGCATTTACTACTCTTACACTGCTTGCCAGCTTCCTTTGTTGCGCATTCACTCTCTCTTCAAGGTCACTAATGAAGAGAAAATTCTGCAACTCCCGCTACTGCAGAATAATAATGGTTTCATCTGTATAACATACACAACCTGCCATCTCTTATTTCCACTCTCTGCCTGCCACCTGCTTATGGCTCCTGTACTGTCTGGGTACTGCATAAGAATTTTAAACAAGAACACCTATTGTCCTGCTATTCCTTTACCACCTATAAGAAAACCAGCTCTTACCTAGATGAGGAGATAAACTCATCTAAATGCATGGGAAACCACTAGGAAAAAATGGATTTTTTTATTTTTCTTAAACAACGACCATACATTGCACTGTTTATTGCCTACGGACAGAATTCCACAGGCTCAAGTCTGACCACCTCTGTGGGATTAACGCCTTCTCTGCCCAGCAGCCCTTTGCTATGGACCAAGCAGACACCAGTAAGCCCTCACCATGTGAGCCCGCTGGCACTCCACGCTGTCCCCAAGGGTCTCATCGAGAGGATGAATGGTGACAGCTGTATGCGAGTGCTGATACTTACAGCTGAGCACCAACGTGAGACCAAAGAACTGGCATTACCTCTCAGGGCGAGGTGGAGCACTGGGATAACCTGCAATTCATCTACTCCCATGAGAGTATGTTTTGGCAGATACAGTGGTAGAAGAAAGCAGGGGTCAGCCAGACTCACCAAGACCACACACGCAACACTGCACCCACTTCACGATTCTTGTGCTTTATGACCAGGAAGCAAAGGCTTCGATCTTTCCCTCCACCTGTTTTTTAAGAAAACCCCAACTTTGCTAGCAGCACTGCGTTCATTTATTTTATGAACGTTAGCTTTCTCTCTGATTTCTTTCTAAAATTTTAATTAGTGTATAAAAGCTTATACTGGAGTCTCACTTTGAAACATGTGGCATCTCTAGTCCACAACTTTTGATTTTAAAGAGAAAAAAAAAAAAAAGAGGTAAACTACTCTAATAACTGAATCCAGAAGGACTTACACAACTAGTCAGTCACATATAGAAGAGTTCTTGACTTACCAACAGCTGAAAGGGCTGCTGCAAGAGCTAATTTAAACCTGGATGAATTCAGAACTTCCTCACACTTCCCCCTTTCTTTCCTTAGTAAATCCATAGGGGGATTTCTGAACAACCACACAGCCATTTTAAAGGCTAATTCCTTTTCAACTATCCTTAATAACTGCAGGCACTAGAGAGCAACAGGTATCACATTTTAGTCACCACCCCCTTTACGTCCTACCACCTGAGTCTAGCATGCTTTTCCCCCCCACTGCAGCTTTCCATTAAGTTCAGGGCTGTATTATGAAGAGGCTTCAATCTTCATTTCTCCCCCCAGCCTTCCAACCTTCCCCACATTGAGTCAATTCTCCCCCAGGCCACCCCAACTTCCAGAATACTCTTCATTTTTAAGAAAACACACGCTGCTCAGATACCCTGCATTACAAACGCTCACAACACACAAGCATGATCCAACCAAGCATGTTTGAGATCTATCAAGCCCAGAAACAGCTGACACCAGCAGCCTGACACCTCCCCAGTAAACCCTTCTCAGAAATCTGCTGTCTAAGGGCTTTCTGAGCTGGAAATTCCACCCCTGTTTTGGTTTATTTGCAAGGACAGTTTTAAATCAACTCATACAGAGACCATTTTCATGTTAAAAAGGAATCTCAAAACAACAGAGATGGAAATATCCATCAACCAGTTCTTCCTATGAAATAAAATTTTGTAAAACTACTTAGTATTACTTGGTTAAAAACCACAAAAATCTCAAAAGTAAATGCATGTCTCCACCCCTACAGCCTTCGCACATCCAGTCAGCTTAAAAAGCCTCCTCCAATGGACAGTTACAACAGACACTGAGAAACGCGCCTTAGAATATAAGGCTACGTAATGTCATTTTTCACAGCCATCACGCTACAAGGAAGAAAGCAGGTTCTCCTTCTGTTGCTTTGTCATGTCTGAACTGTTTTGTACTATTTACACCATGAAAAGATTTTGGTATTTTTGACACACATTTCAGGCAACCCCTAACAGCAGGCTTTCTAATGTGAATTCTGTAAGGAAGTCTTTGCCATCTGTATGCAAACCTCATATATGCTACTATAAACTACCCTATTTCTAGAACAAACTTTGTTTCCTGGCACTGATAATAAGTTCAGCCACCTAATACTAAACACTTGTTGGTGTATGCCTTGCCAGCAACATCAGGCAGTGGGGGAGAAGGAATGTTAGATGAGGTTATTTAGACAATTTTTCACACCCCACAGAACATACAGTTTACCTTTCCAATTTCAGAAGCCCAGGAAATGGAAATCTGGTTTGGCACTGCTGATGACAATCTAACTAGAGAAGTTATATTCAAGGGGCGCCCAGGTCGCTTCTGTTCAATCCCATTTTTTGGCGGTGGTGCATATCCCTATGGGAAGAAAGGATGAGGAAAGTGTTACCAAGTCTCCCTGCCACACTCTGAAACCTGCTGGAACAGATTTGTTAGTTTTAAACAGATCTATGGGAAGCAGAGAAACATAGAAGCTCTCTAGGCTGGAGACTAAATTCAACACTTACTCTGAGAAATATCAGTCTTTGATAGTCTAACACCGTAAGTCAGCCACAATTTTAAAGCATTTTTGGCTCAAAGTGGTTTTATAGAAGCGCTTAAAAGGTGGAAGAGGACAGTTTTGGTCCAGGTGAGTTCACTGGAAGAGTAAAAAGTAATGTTGATGCTTTGATCTTCATCCCACCACCGCCCCACTGAAACAAAGTAGAACATCACAAGGACACAGCCTTAGTGACAAACACAGCAAGACATGAAGAGTTAATTCAGCATTTCACACCCAGGAAACATTTCACTGATTCTATGTAAGAAACGGTGGAGCTCTTGGAACAAGATTTTACATGTCCTTGATGCCTGCTTTGCCTCCCATCAACTATACCTAGACCCATCAGCAACTGGTTGTCACTGTACACTGCCAGGGCCCCTGAAGAGCAGCAGTACATGGAATATAAACTGTATTTATGAGCTAAAAGGCTTTGCTGTTGTCTGCAGAAACAAAAAGTAGATATTGTTCACTCAGCTTTGATGAAGAATTTCATAACCTGGACAGCTTTTCTCTGTATTTTTATTTCCTATATAATGTACATGAACTGAATCAGGAGCCATCCAATTCCCTTTTGCTTCTAGGCAAGCCCATACTCTCCAGCACGTTGTGAGTGGGAAGTACCTGTGCTATGTGAAGGAGCACACAGCCTAACTGCAGCTTATTCATCTCACCCTGCGTCTGTCGCTACGAAAGCAAGCCAGTCTGCAACAGAAACGCAGAGAATCTGTTCTCAGCTCAGACAGACAGCCTGCAGTCCACTCATCTGAAAAACTCATCCTGCACCAGAAGGATGCCAGTAAAAGACTGCAGCCCTATTTCTTGCAGAGAACTGACTGCCAGATTTCATTTAGTTCAAAATAGTGTTGTTCTATACAAGAAACTCTCCCAGACAGGATATGCTGGAAAAACACAGGCAAATATATTGTTTTATCCGGAGAAAGCCTGGAAAAAGAGTTACTTTGAAAGACCTTAAGACTGAAAATAAAAACTAAACAGCCTCTTCCACTCACTAGCCAAGTATACCATAGGATGATCACTGCTTTTAATCCAAGGACTCAACAGATGTCACATCATTTCCTAGGTTTCAAAAACAGCTGTTACCAGGCCATACGTCTCACCTGACAACCAAGCCCTGGCTGTGTCTCACCACTGCCCTTTATTAATTTCAGACAGGACTCTTGCTTGCAATGACAGAATAGGGACTTGAGCTTCTACAGGCAGCTCTGCCAGGCCAGAGCACCAGGCATCAATTGCTGAAAAACTTCCCCTAAAGTGATTCTCACCCCAGATGAGTGACCCAATAGCTACTGGGAACCTTACCACGTGTGCTTTATCACACAACACAGAGGCAGCAGATGTATGGGTACTGCTGACAATTTCACACTTACAAGAATGAATGATTTGCCATTTCTTTAATAAGACACAACAGCTGCAGCGATTTATAGAGTATATATCCCAGCTGCTTTGCTGTAGTAGGCCCTTCTCTACTATGGTGACTTTATAATGAGCTTATGTGGATGCACACACCATCCCTGCAATATTTAGGAGAGTATTTCCACACACATTGTACCAGCCACAATAATCCTGCTGGTCTCCAACCTAAAATGAAGCTGCCTTGCTTTCAAGACAGCAAAGATGCCAGTTCTTTTCTATTTCCCAACTTATTTTCCTTTTTAGAGCCAGACTATGCAGTGCACGTGCTTCACTTCAGTCACACTTTTGATACCATTCCCTCATAACAAGAAGGAACTCAAGCCAATCACAAACACAGACAACCCAAACAGCATGGGCTACCATCAATCAAGTCAAATAACCTCAGCTGCATACCTGTGAGAAGGATTCCACATGCAGACACAAGTTTTGTTTTTGACATATTTTGTTGCGTTAACTGTAACAGATGAGGTTTGCTATAGGTGGCTAAAACACAATTAATCCATGCAGTGGCTGCAACATGATTAATAGTAGTAATGGTTATCTTGCACAGCAAATGTACAAACCATGTGCCTAACGTTAGTAACCAGGGAAATTTGAGTGATAACAATGAACAGCTTGATTGTTTTAGCAAGCTAACATTATAGAAAAAACACACACTGCAAGTCACAAAGAAGCCACAAATACATACAAACAAGCTTACCGGCAAGGGAAACAGCTTCCCATTTACTTTAATACACAAACTACTAGGGTAATTATCTTCTTGAGGGCAGCTTGTCTCTGCTAGGCATAACCTATATCCCCAAAAAGAGAAAGCGTCATTTAAATGTCACCACATTCGTATGTCCCCCACAAACATCTAGACTTGTGTTACATTGGTCAGTTAAGAAGTGAACACTATGAAAAAAGGTACCTTAACTGAACTTGGACAGTGTAATCTCTCCTGCCCCCTGGCAAGAAGTCCCTGTGACAAAGAGAACGAAAGAGAGAAGTATCCACTTAGACAGCAGATCTCATATTACTGTATTATGCAGAAAGAACTGGCACACCTGCCCCAACATCACTGTGCTTTGCTCTTATTCTTCTTTGACTGAGCTATGAACAAGTCTTACAAGCGACACCTCTGTTTAGCTACTGCAAGGAAAACAGAACTTTAGGATCAGCGTCCTCTGTCAAGAGTTTGTAGTGACAATAATGTATGATGTCGCCAGAGAGGAAAAAACCCTATGAATTCTCTTGGCTTACACCACAGGTCTTGCAACAACATGAACCCTGGAACAAAAACATAAAAGCAGCCTTCCATTCCTGCAGCCAGGAAACACGCAGGGAAGAAAAGCTTATCACCTCTCTAAAATAGTCACAATTATTTGGAACCAACTAACTGTTAACTTTTTAGTGGCACAGGATTTACCCCAACTGCACATAAATTCTGCACACAGTAGTTCTTGAAGAAAACAAAACAGATAAACTCAGCATAACTTTGGTGAGGATTATCACTCTGCATCTGCAAGACTATGAGATGCATGAAATGAACCAAAACACCCACTATTTCTCCTGAAATTTTGCAAAAGTTTACCTGCATTACGCCTCACTCTTATTTCTTACCTGGAAATACAGATTTCTCTGACTTGCTGAGGTGTCAAAGCAAAGATAAAAAACTTCTCTTGGAACCTCTGAATACTGCTCTGTACTAGAAAAAAAAAAAAGAGACACACACAAAAGAGGTTTAGCCATGGTGATTAAAGTCATTGATTAAAACAGAAACTGCAACTGAGGTTTTCCTGGAACAAGGCGTAAGTCACTTAATATAATCAAATTGTGGTTGAACTGCATGTAACTGTCAACAGCAAAGCAATGGAACAAATCATTCATTCAACTATATTCAGATGGCTTAATATCACATTACACTTCAGTACCAAAGAAGCTTGGCAAGCTGCATTCAAACAAGCACACACCAAAATGTAACACTGGTTACCTGACGAAAAGAGTATAGGTAGATGTTTACAGATGTTTACAACTGTTTTAATGTCCTACAAGAAGAGAACGTGCACCAGAAGTTATTAATGGACAGCTGGTAAATTACTCAATTCAGAAACAGCTAAAGGTAACTAAGCCTTTGGGAAGGAAGGGAGGGAGCACAACTCCTAATGCCAGAGAAGCCAGCTAGACTTCATGTCTGGGAATTACCGCTCATGAGCATTTGGCAAACAAGCAAACAAATACAACTTTCACCTCAGAATCCTACTTGTCTATCAATGATGGGAAGCAGTAATATTTTAGTATTAAGGTTTCACAGTGTGTATGTTACTTTTCTACTTTCTTTCGACTAGAGAAGTTAGAAATCTTGACCTGAAATAAAGGTAGGCTGGACTTGTCCAACATTTTAAAGTAACCAACAAAGTAGAAGAAATGCAAAAATAGCACAACTACACCAGGCAATTTTGGAAGAGCTAATCTGTCTTGTACACTGTGACATTCAGAGAAAATGCTCTCTATGCACAGAAAACACACACAAGAAGAAACCAAACACAAAATAGAACCCAGGTGGAGCAAAAATACACACACCCCAAGTTTCTCAAACAATTCAAAACAGCTACGTTGTGCACGTATGTGCACACACACACACCACAAGACAGCATTTACCATTTTAAAATAATATTCAAGCACGTATAAAAAAGATCACAGAAATATTTTGTTATTTAATTGACTGTGGGTTAAAACTAAACCCACACCTACACCTGCTCTTGTGTTCTTGCATTAGTGTAAAAGAACAACTGCACTCTCACCCTCTTTAAAGAGCCACTGTGAAGCGGACTATAGCTCTCTGACCTACCTGTCTATTTGGTTTCTGAATCCTTAACTCTCAAACACACAAAACTTGTTTGTTCCATGTCCAAATCACCCAGGTGTACTAAGTGGGACTATAAGCTAACCACATGCAGCAGGTGCACCCGTCCAGTGAAAACAGGGCTTCTTAGCTGCTGAAGTGTAACAGCTCCTGGCTGCCTTTGCTCTTGGGGCTTCAGGATAGTTGGGGCCTTTGGCTATTGAGCACAGATCAGATTTGGCCTGGGTATAAATGGAGTCCCCTGAGGAGCCATTTTGAGCTCATCCTCTGCATGAGCACACTGCAGTTGAGGACTCTCCCCTTGGGTCAGGATGCTGCTCAAGGAAAGTCCTTGAGGTGACGTGGGTTGGGACACTGCCCTGAGCAGGTCCTCAAAGTTGAGAGCCCTCACTTCTTAGGTGAGTGATAGAGTGTTTTGGGTTGTCATTAAACCCTAAGGAGTTGTTCTTTGTTATGTGTTTTGGGTTGTCCTTAAACCCTAGGAAGTTGTTCTGTTCTCTCACAGACATTTGAATCTGTAATTTGCAGAGGGCTACTTAATTGTGTTGACAATAAATTTTTAATTTTTGGTGGTTGCTTGTTTATTTGAGAGCTTCCGTAACACCACATCAATCTGAAACTATTAAACAAAGGAAGACTCATTTCCAAATTTGCTCGTGAATCCATGTTAATAGTAATTTTCAGCCAATGTTCATATCCTTGTAACATCAGAAGGGTCCATTATTTGCATATCAAGCCATTCCTCACATCTCATTTCCCCACTCCTCCTCACACAGATCTGAGCTGTAGCTCTGGCTGCTGCCATCTTCGAGTATTGTGCTCTGGAAAGAGTATGAAGGCAAGCAAGCACTAAGTTAAATTAATTCTGTCCCACTTGTCTACATCCTAAGACAAGCCAAATGTTACAGGACTAAATAATCCTCACTCCTATGACAACTGGGCAACCTGAAATGAAGAGCCTACAGTCTTCAAAGGAAAGAGGAATTTACATGCAGCGCTAACCCCTAAGGAAGCATTTTCCTTTCAGAAAAAAAGGATCACTTCCACAGTTAAGGAAAACAGCTGTTAGGGAAATTTCTAGCATATCCCTATCACTTCTAGATTATCATTGACCAGGAAACAAAAGGTAACTACACAGCAGAAATATAACATGGAGCATATGATGCATTTTATGGGACAGAGTGACTACGTGGCTGGCAACCAGTCTGGTTAACTATGAGCCAAGAGTTGTCCCATAACACAGAGTAATTCAGGAACCTAGCTCCTGCGCACATCAAACACACACAGGCCTCAGGTAGGACACAGTGGTGTTGACAGATTATCTCTGTAAAGGTGATGGCAGCAGGAGCCGTAGAGCTGTCCAAGACCACAGCAGCTACTGTAGCAATGCTCAGGTTTGATATTGAACTTTTCTCTAACAGGGTATCATGACACACAAATATAAGTGACAAAACAGGCCCTGTAAATAATGCTTGTTAGTAATGTTTGCTGCTTTGGGTACTGGAGGATGACTAGTGATCAGCGTATGTCTCACCGAGCTCCAAGTCACAGCCTAAAAGACTCTATTATCAGTTAAGAAATTAAAAAGTTTTACAGGATGCAAACAGCCTGCAAAATGCTGAAGTGTTCCTAAACAATATTACTGAATAGTTAGGGAACACTTTCTACCATGTAAGGTAAGACAGGTTGAATTTCAAGACAGAAAGCAACTTATTTCCAAATAATTAAATACATTCAAGAGTGAGGCATCTGAGGAAACTAAACTGAGATTTCAAATGATGTGGAAGACAAAAGCCCACTCCACATTTTAATACAGAGTATGGCAACAACCCATAGGCTGAGAAACCTTCACTAATATCAGTACAACACTGAACCTTGCTGCACAAAGTTACCTATTTCAGTGTCAGGCGTCAGAACCAAGAGAACTGTTGCAGCGCGATAAGCATAATCTAACAAACCAGTATCCTTGTTCTCTTTACGCTGTTGCAATTTATTAATTTCCCTATATAACCCTGAAATAATTTTCCTGTTGGCCCTGACCAATGGGTTCCTCACTTGTACCAGGCAGAGACTTCAAGTCCAAATCTTTCAGTCAAAAGTAGAGGTTCAGACTAAGTATTAGGAAGCATTTACTTGCCCAGAGGGTGGTCAAACACCAGGCTTCCTAGAGATGTGGTCAACACTCCAACCCTGTCAGTGTTTAAGAAGCATTTGGAAAATGCCCTTAACTATCACTCTAACTTTTGGTCAGCCCTGAAGCAGTCAGGCAGTTAGATGATTATTGTAAGGTATCTTTCAACTGAACTAATTTAATATTCAAAAGGCAAAGATCTTTAATCATATAGTATTTAAACAAGAGAACACTATTTTCTGAAGTGTGGCTTGGCACTTCTTGGCACAAGCAGTGAAGAGACGACGAGGGTAGGGATGAGAAGGGGAGTTTCTACTTTTCCCCAGCTGCAAAAAGCCATTTAAGTCCAGACTTAGCACTGTCACAAGCAACACCTATTCCATGAATTAACCTATGGAGCTATTAAACACTTACCTAGACTTGTAGGTTTTATGAGCACATCAAGCACATCATAAAAAGGTAGGCTTTTCAGCTGAACATCGGGATGAACAGGTGGAATTGGAGGGGATGGCTGCTGCATCTCGAAGTGAGGCTTAGTGTCCTGGACGAGCACAGAATTCACAGGTGAGGAAGGAGACTGAGATGTGACTGAAGTAGAAGGGAGTGAGTGAATGCCAGCAACAGCCAGGTCAGGCTCAACTGGAGAGGAACTACTGTCCAAGTTGAAAACCGTGGGTTTTATAGATGTTAAGTCTGAAAGTCCTTCAATCGTCCTTGGGTACCGACGCCTATAGAGTTCTCGGATTTTTATCTGAACTGCTGGGCTGCAGCCGCTCTTCAGTAATTGAAGTGCCCTCATCAGGAGGTCATGTTTCCTCCCACTTTTATTACGTCCAGCAAACCCCAACAACACTTGCAGTTCAGAAACACGGAAACTGGATACCATATTCTAGAAAGAAAAGATATAAGCAGAGGTGAACCAACAGTACCCCAAGCAAGGCGTTCTGAGGAGCACAGTGAAGCATCTGAACTTCCATCATTATAGTTTTACACTTGTTACCTTCAGTATTACCCATACCCTTAGTCAACACAAGAGTATAGTTAGATTAAAACAAAGAAGGTTGAGTTTAGTTGTGTTCATAACTTCAAAACACTTCTGTTTCCACACTCAAACAATACCAACAACAAAATCTTACGTTGCAACCCATGCAGTGCTATCTTAAATTCACAGGCAGAAGAGGAAGCTGTATCACTTCATGCATCAAGGAAACAAACAAACAAAAAATCAGATTAATCAAATTATCACCTGTCTTCCTACATACTTGAAGAAATAAAATAAGGAAGTGTTTTTAAGTTCTGCATAGTTTATTCTGAAAAATCCTTTATTTTGGGCAGCATATTAAATGCATGCGTGAACAGCGACAGGCACATCAGGTTTCAGTCTTGAAAGGGTGGCACAGCAAGGTGAGCACTTTTTGTAAAAGCTACTAACATACTAACAAACTGTTTAACCACATAACTGATTCTTCCAAAATGTCACAGAAAACTTCCTTTCCTTTCATATCACCTTCTGGTATCGTGGGACACAAAGATCTCTTCAAAAAGGAAATACTACTATTTGCTTGGTTATCAGTCAGTTGTGGAAGACTGAGGATTGAACTAGGAAATCATTAACAGGAAGATTTTAATTTAAAAAAAAAAAACCAAACAAACCAAGAAATAAAAAAGCCCACTATGTGAGAGGAAGTGATCTTCTCTCCCCATCACTACAAATGGCTACAGGCACATCATCTCACATTTTTGTGAGCAAGCTCTCTTTTCAGATATAAACTTGCTCAGAATTCTTCTACACAACTTCCTATTTCTGTGGGACTCTTCCACCATAACAAGGAGGTTAAGTTTTAAGAATGAAAGAATGTCTGACTTTAATCTGTACTGCTGTACTGTACCAACTCCAGGCTCAAGAACTGACAAAGAACCTAACAAAGTATGGAGTAGTAGACATCTGAGATCATAAAAGGTAGTTTTAAAAACAGTTCAGAAGTGCATTGTTGACTTTTAAATAGCAGTTCAATACACAACATTTAAAGATTTGGGCACCGATTTCGGAGGGGATACAACTCAAAAAGCAGTATTTCTGGTTTACCTTCCCTAGTCCTTACTACACAGTTAAGGGTTTACATCCTTATTTTCTAACACAGATCTGACCTCAGCTGAACTTTTAACACAACTATGCCACAACCAGGCAGTGAGCCACCAAAGTCAGTCTGAACTTCTCCTGTGTCCCTAGCTGTTTGCTCGCTATTCTCTCCTTAATGTTGAGAAAATCTGTTTTAGACAGATCAGGGAATTGAGCCAGATGAAAACTGAACTTCAACCATAGAATCATTTATGTTGAAAAAGACCTATAAGATCAGAGTCCAACTGTAAATCTCACACTGCCAACTCCACCTCTAAACCATGTCCTCAAGTGCCACATCTACATGTCTTTTAAACACCTCCAGGGACAGTGACTCCACCACTGCCCTGGGCAGCCTGTTCCAATGCTTGACAACCCTTTTGGTGAGGAAACTGTTTCTAATATCCAGTCTAAACCTCCCCTGGCAAAACCTGAGGCTGTTTCTTTCGTCCTATCACTTGTTACTTGGTTAAAGAGACTCATCCCCCCTCTCTGCCCCCTCCTGGCAGGGAGTTGCAGAGGGCCAGGAGGTCTCCCCTCAGCCTCCTCTTCTCCAGACTGAACCCCCCCAGTTCCCCCAGCCGCTCCCCAGCAGACCTGTGCTCCAGACCCTGCCCCAGCTCCGCTGCCCTTCTCTGCCCACGCTCGAGTCACTCAATGGCCTTTTTGGGGTGAGGGGCCCAACACTGAACCCACTCAGCGAGGGGCGGCCTCCCCAGTGCCGAGCCCAGGGCTCAGATCCCTTCCCTGTCCCTGCTGGCCACGCCAGTGCTGACACAAGCCAGGATGCTGTTGGCCTTCTTGGGCCCCTGGCCACACTGCTGGCTCCTGTTCAGCCAGCTGTTGACCAACATCCCCAGGTTCTTTTCTTCCAGAGAGCTTTCCAGTCACTTCCCCCAAGCCTGTATTGTTGTAGCAGGTTGTTGTGACCCAGGTGCAGCACTTGGCTGAACCTTGTTGAACCTCACACAACTGGCCTCGGGCCATTGATTCTGCCTCTCCATATCCCTCTTGTGCCATTACAAGACAGCAGGAGGAAGCAGTCAGGACTTGTCTTTTCAAGGGCCACATTATATGACAACATGACCCGACTACTGGATGTGGGAAAAGTTGTGAATATTGTGAATATTGTCTGGATTTTCAAGAAGCGTTTGACAGAGTTCCCCACAGAATTCTCCTAGAAAAACTGGCTGTCCATGGCCTGGATGAGCGAACGGTCTGCTGGGTCAAGCACTGGCTGGATGGCCGGTCCCAGAGAGTGGTGGTCAGTGGAGCTACATCCAGCTGGTGGCCGGTCACAAGTGGTGACCTCAGGGCTCAGTGTTGGGACCATTTCTGTTCAACATCTTTATTGATGATCTTGACAAGGACACGCAGTGGATCACCAGTGAGTTCACAGATGACACCAAGTTAAGCAGGAGGGTCGATCTGCATGAGGACAGGGAGGCTCTGCAGAGAGACCTGGATAGATTGGATCAGCTGCCAACAGTAACGGGACAAGCTTCAACAAGGGAAGTGCCAGGTCCTGCCCTTGGGCCACAACCACCCCCTGAGTGGCTACAGGCTCAGGGAGGGGTGGCTGGAGCTGTCTGGGAGAGAAGGGTCTGGGGGTTCTCATGGACAAGCAGCTGAACAGGAGCCAGCGTGTGCCCGGGTGGGCAAGAAAGCCAATGGCATCCTGGCTTGTGTCAGCACTGGTGTGACCAGTGAGGTGACAGTCCCCCTGTGCTCTGCACTGGTGAGGCCACACCTGGAGCGTTGTGTCCAGGTTTGGGCACCTCAATCCCAGAGAGATCTCGAGGGGCTGGAGTGAGGGCAGAGGAAGTCAGAGAGTGAAGGGCCTGGAGAATAAATCCTGTGAGGAGGCAGGGAAGGAGCTTGGAGTGTTCAGTGAGAGGAGGAGGCAGCTGAGGGGAGCCCTCATCCCTCTCTGCAGCTGGACACTGCAGCTGGACACAGGACACTGCAGAGAGGCTGGGGCTGGGCTCTGCTCCCAGGGGATCAGGGACAGGACAAGAGGGAACGGCTGGAAACTGCCACAGGGGAGGTTCAGGCTGGGTAGGAGGAGAAGGTCGTAAGAAGTTTCACAGGGTTTTTTGTTTCTTATTGTTAAACTATAGCAACCATGATTCATAAGCAGAAATACTGTTCTAACACATTAAGCCGTAGGTGTATCTGGAATGGCATTCACTTCACAGGGAAAGTCCAGGAAATGCTGACACACTGCTGAAATTAAGGGCAGGCATGTTTCAGAGCAAAGCAAGGAACCAAGCACACCTCTCAAACAAGAGGTACACAATTCTCCACACTCCCTCTGACAAGGCTACCTGTAATTTTAGCAGTCATTGTACTTGTATATGAATGAAAGGCAACCAAGGATGCCTGTTAAATTATTGACATACATCTACAATTTGCGCCAATAACTGTAGCTTCTAGGGCAATCACAGCTGCTCAGGTAGTGAACCCAACACCTGAACCTGCAGGCGCAATGCCAGTCAACTCAACAGTTCTAGTCTGTCTCCAGCTAAGAGCTCTGCTTCAGCCCCACTGGCTTCCAGATGGTTTCTGAAGTGTCTGAAGACTATACAGGGAAGGGACACACGAAGGACAAATGCCTGCTCCTGACTTTAAGCCCTTCTCTGGACACTCATAGCAGAGAATCACATTTGTGACATCTTCTGCAATAAATCTGCATACATGCTGATTTACAGCAGGCTACAAATGTGTAATACTGTTAAGAAAGAGCAACTCGTGTCTTGAAATGGTTGAAACCTCTATGCTGACCCCAACTACAAACATAAACATATTCTGGAAACTGATACAACTTTAGATTAGAAAACTGCAAGTCCTGGGAAAGAATGAAGATGTCACTAGTTACATCTGTGCAAGTAGTACAGCACAATAAGCACAGCTCTGAAGAGCACAACAGTTAGTGTAAAGAGCATGACCATCAGGTCCTCAGTATTACACGAATTTTTCTTTGGATACCTCTAGCCTGGCTCCTAAATTAGGCATTAGTCTTCAAAGTTGCATGCACTTAATATAACAGTGAAAATTCTGAATCAAATACTTGCATTAATTTCATGCAAAACAAAGCTTGACCCATTTCATTGCAGCCTCATTTTTTTAAGTACCACAAACTACATTATCTCCTTCCTCTTCTCCATCACTCAGCACAATCATTAATTGTAAATTATTCTAGATACAACAAACTTTTAAGGTACCACAATAAATCTCACTGGTCTGAAAAAGTGATTATGCATCTAGGACGAACAGGGGAATTACGTACAGATACAAGATAACAGTGTATTACCATAGGTTATTAACAGCATTTTATCAGAGGTTATCTTATTTAATACACTCCATGTTAACTGCAACCTAAAGATCACTACATCACCGACAAACTTCTGAGTACCTACTCTGTCTATCATTTTAAGTTTACCCCAGATCAGCATGCAGAAATCAATTTCTATGTCAAACGCCCAAACCGGTTGCCATATACAGTAAAATGTTATTAATATAGCTAAAATAAACCAGAGTAAAACAGATTGTTTGGCAACAAGCTTGAAGTAGACATTGTGAAAGTAACTGTTTTCTTCTTGGTTAACAATTTAGAACAAAGCACTGCTTCACCTGCTGAACAGGCAAACACCATCCATTCAGACCCCAAAAATAAAGCAAAAGGAGCAGAAAGACACCAAATCTGGTACGAATGAAAGATCCCATACATACAAGAATGAGACTTCAATTTCTGTATTTTAATATGGTATCCTAACCATACTGCTCTTCACATCTGAACCACCTGACTTCAGTACTGGCTGTGCAAGAGCAAAAATTAAAAGTGGGACTTTCAGCATTTATAAACCCTGATTTTCCAGTAAATTGTGCGTAATCTCACCCTCCACACAGGATGTATGAGCACACTTCCAACTCTTCTCAGTTAAAATGATTTTTTTTTTCCCCACAATGGCCATGAAACTGATCTCTAGCATCACACAAATTAGTTTTGGCATAGGCATATTAATTTGCCTATAAGAAGTGGCACGCTTTTTTCCCCATAAAGATGAAACTAACACATTACTTCAAAACCCACTTAAATACAAACTATTGAGACTGAAGCTGTTATCTTCTAAACTAGGAATCTGCAGTGTCTCAAGGGTAGTCTGCACCCTGTATTTTTTGTTTCCAAATTAGTCAGGATGCCAGCAGAAACTTAGGAGACTCAAGAAATGTTCGCTCTAAGTAATAACACATAACGGATCCTCTTATCTGAAGTATTTTGCTGGGATGCAAACCGTAGATTCAAGCCAAATCTCGGTGAGTTAATTTGTTGGGAGCTGGAACCGTTTTCTCACAGATGGCTCTCAGAAGGAGCTGTAGTTCCCCACTCCTGGGCCAATTCTGTTCAAAAATGTGTTTACATGCCTCCACACCAGACTGCTGACTTCTGCTCCACGTCCATCTATGCCTGTGTAATCCCTCTGACATTCATGAGGCTACTCGTGAGTGAGGATTATGGATAAAGGTATGAGCCATGTTTAAAAACAGCAGATCTGGAAATTTTATCTCAAAATACAAGAAAGATACCATTGTGCTCACCACTTCTCAGTAACTCCCTAATGTCTCAGAAAACAGTA